AGGGGGTCCTGGAGCCCACAACCAGCACTGAGACCCCTGGGACCCCCAACAGCACCGGCACATCCGGCAACGCCACCGCAGGTACCGGCCCCATAGCCCAACCTCATAACCCAGCCCCATAGCCTAGCCCCACACCCACCCCTCTTCCCTTCTCCCCCAGGCAGCCGTGGCGGTGCCGTGGGTCCCGTGGGCAGCAGAACAGCATTGACGGCGCTCGCGGTGATGCTGCCACTGGGTACATTTGTGGGGGATTCCCCATTGTCCCTTATGGAGGGGAGGGGTCCCCATTGTCCCTTATGCGGGGGGTGTCCCAGTGGTCCCTTATGGGGGGGGAGGTCCCCATGGTACCTTATGGGTGGGGTTCCCATTGCCCCTTATGGGGGGGGGGGGCCCATGGTCCCTTATGGGGGGGTCCCCATTGTCCCTTATGGTGGGGTTCCCATTGTCCCTTATGGGTGGGTCCCCATTGTCCCTTATGGGGGGGACCATGGTCCCTTATGGTGGGGTCCCCATTGTCCCTTACGGGGGGTGTCCCCATTGTCCCTTACGGGAGGGTCCCGATGGTCCCTTATGGGGGGGTCCCCATTGTCCCTTATGGGGGGGCCCCCATGGTCCCTTATGGGGGGGTCCCCATGGGGTTACCCAATGGGTGCCAATGGGGTCCCTGCTGACACTGCCTCCCCCGCAGCGGTGCTGGTGCTGGTGGGTGCCGCTGCCCGCGGGCTCTGGCGCTGGTGGCGGCGCCGCAGCACCCAGAGCATCAGCTTCAGCAACCCCGTGTTCCGCAAGGCCGGGCACCAGGAGGAGGAGGAGGAGCCGCTGGGGGTGCCCCGGGCCCCCCTGGTGAGCGCCGGGGTCCTATGGGGCAGGGAAGCTCCATGTGGGGGACTATGGGGTGGGGTGGGGCTTCCTATGGGGGTTATGGGGGGTGGGTCCCTGTGGGGGCTTATGGGGCAGACGGAGGCTCCATATAGGCACTTATTAGGCAGGGGGGGTCCCTACAGGGGACTATGGCTCCATGTGGGGGACTATGGGGTGGGGTGGGGCTTCCTATGGGGGTTATGGGGGGTGGGTCCCTGTGGGGGCTTATGGGGCAGACGGGGGCTCCATATAGGCACTTATTAGGCAGGGGGGGTCCCTACAGGGGACTATGGGGAAGGGGGGGGCTCCCTATGGAGGGTTATGAGGCAGGGGAGCTCCCTATGGGGAGTTATGGGGATGGGGGGCTCCCTGTGGGGGGTTATGGGGCAGGGGTGCTCCTTATGGGGGGCTATGGGGCAGAGGAGGGCTCCACTGGCGTTCTGTGGGGCAGGGGTATCCCAATGGGGTCCTATGGGGCAGAGAGGGCCTCCTATGGGGGGCTGTGGGGCAGGGGGAGCTCCAATGGGGCTCTGACCCCCCTGCTTCTTCCCCCAGGTGCTGGATGATGACGTGGCCTGAGCTCGGCACCGCGCAGTCATGCGTGTTCCTCAGCGCCAGGGCACGGCCACGCACGTGCGGGGCTGGACCTGCTCATATGTGGTCACATGTGGTTGTATGTGGTCACATGTGGTCGTATGTTGTTGGATGTGGTCATATGTGGTTGGATGCGGTCAAATGTGGTTGGATGTGGCTGGATGCGGTTGTGTTCATGTATGTGGTCGTATGTGGTCACATGTGGTTGTATGTGGTCACATGTGGTTGGATGCGGTTGGATGTGGCCAGCCTGGACCACGCGTGTTTGTGCGTGATGCTGCGCACGCCTCAACACGGGGCACCCGTGGCACACACGGGCTCTGCACGCCAGCACACGTGTGCACACGCAGCAGGTGCTGCTTTGAACCAAAAACTGTGAAACTGAACCCAAAACGTGGCCTTGGGGGGAGAGGGGGGTGGGAGGGCCCTGTGGCGATGGAGCCCCACCATGACAAATACAGGGGTTATTTATTTCCCTCCCTTGTGCTGCCTCCTCCTTCCCCCCCCCCCCCCCCCCGACCCCCAAGTGCCCCGGTTGTGGGTCCTGGTGTCTGGAGGTGCTTTATTGGCAGGGGAACATACCAAAAAGGGGGTGGGGGGAATGCAGGGTGATGATGTCACAGGGTGTCCTGTGACGTAACGAGGCTCTCGTATGACGTCACGCAATGTCATGTGGCGGCACCGCAGGGACCTGGGGGTGGCTGGAACACACATGGAAGAGGTCACGTGATGCACATGGGGGGGGGCACTCATCACATGCATGGGGGGGTCACGTGTCACACACGTGTGGGCGGGTCTCACCCCTCCTCCGCCTCATGGTACTCGCTGTCATCAGAGGAGCTGGGGGGGGGGAAAAGGGGGTGAGAGGACCCCAAACCTGCCTCATCCCCCACCCTGTGACCCCAAGCCTGCCCCCATTCAGCCCCCCCACCTGCTGCTGCCCCCCACGGGGGGGTCTCCATCGCCTTCGGCTCCATTGGCTTCACCTGGCGGCTCTAGGAGATGGAGGGCGGGGTGAGGCTGGAGCCCCCCAGATCCCATATGCCAGATCCATGTCCCATATCCCACATTCTATATCCCATATCCCATGTCCGCATCCCATATCCCCTAGTATATGTTCTATATCCCATATCCCATGTTCATGGCCCATATCCTGTATTCCATGTCTGTGTCCTATATTCCATGTCCATATCCCCTATCCTGTGTTCACATCCCATATCCCATGTCTATGTCCTATATCCCTTGTTCCGTGTCCTGTATCTGTATCCCATATCCCCTATTCCCTATCCCCCACCCGTGTCCATGTCCCATATCCCATATCCCCCATCCCATGCCCCTGTCCTGCTCACGCTGTCCCAGCTGGGCCCGGGCCTCCCGCAGCTCCTCCAGTGCCCGGCGCAGGCGCTGCTCCAGCTCCGCCACCCGTCCTGGCAACGCCACGGCCCCGTCCGTGCCCACGGCCACCGAGCGGCGCCCCCGTGGCAACGCCAGCGCCCGACCGGGGCTGGGCATGGAGCCGGAGCCGATCCCTGCGATGCCGGAGCTGATGCCAGTGCTGGTGACGGAGCTGGGGCTGATCCTGGTGTCGGGGATGGAGCTGGAACTGATCCTGGTGCTGGGGATGGAGCTGGTGCTGATCCCATTGTCAGGGATGGAGCCGGTGATGCTGGAGCCAATCCCAGTGCTGGTGATGGAACCCGAGCCCATCCTGGTGCTGGTGCTGGAGCTGGAGCTGATCCTGGTGCTGGAGCTGTTGATGCCAGAGCCAGTCCCAGTACCAGCAATAGATCTGGTGATGCCAGACCTGATGATCCCAATGCTGGTGATAGAGCTGGTGACACCAGAGCCAATCCCAGTACCACCACTAGATCCAGGGATGCCGGAGCCGATCCCGGTGATGCTGGAGCCGATCCTGGTGGTGCCGGTGTCAATCTCGGTGATGTCAGAGCTGATCCCGGTGATGCTGGGATCAATCCTAGTGATGCCAGAGCCAATCCCGGTGATGCCAGGGTCAATCCCGGTGATGCCAGCATCAATCCCGGTGATGCCGGAGCTGATCCTGGCAATGCTGGAGCCAATCCCGGTGATGCTGGGATCAATCCCGGTTTTGCCAGAGGTGATCCCGGTGTTGCCAGAGCCGATCCCGGTGATGCCAGAGCCCATCCCAGTGCCCTCGATGCCTCCGTCCCCGTCTTCGGCTCCATCCCCGTGGCTGCAGGCGCAGCCGTGGTGGCTCCGGAGCCGCTCCAGCAGCAGCTGCTTCTCCTCCTGGAGCCGCTCGAGGCGGCGCCGCAGCGCGGGCAGGGCCCGGACCTGCTCCTCCAGCTCCCGCAGCCGCCCCAGCGCCGCCGCCATCTGTGCCCGCACCCCCCGCAGCGCCGCCGGGCCCACCCCGGCCTCCTCCTCCTCGGGACCCCCCCCTGCCCCTGACCGAAGCCGGGCCCGGGGCTCTGGTTCCCGGCCCCCTCCACCACTGCCGCCTGCCCAGGATGCGCGGTGCAGGCGCCGCTGCCCCGGCAGCCGCCGCAGCGTCAGCCCCTGCTCGATGGCCTCCACATAGCCCAGGAAGCCCAGGTCCAGGGTACCCGTATGCCGTCTCCAGCGAGTACCGGGCCTCCCCCGGGACCGCAACCGCCGCTGCCGACCCTGACCGGCGGCGACCTGGAGGGAGCCCCGTGACAGCGGCACCAGCACCGCAGCAGGAGCCCCCATAGGGGGACCCCTCCACTGCAGGACCCCCCCATAGAGCAATCAGGACCAGCCCCACTCTGGGACCCCCCAGTAGCAGGACCCCCCCACAGCGCAACCGGTGCCCCCCACATCCCAACCTGGGACCCTCTCCCTGCCCCCAGTAGAATCAGGAGTCCAAGATTCCGCACCCCATCAAGCCCACCCCCCACCTTAATGCGGACCCAGGGACCCCCCCTTCCCCCCATTGACCTCAGCCCCACGCGATACCCAGGGCTCCCTCCCCATCAGCCCCATGGCTGCAGGGACCCCCCCAGCCCCTCACCTGGGAACGCATCCACTGGCAGGACCTGAGCCATGGCCCCAGCCTGGGGGGGGGGGAAGGACAGAGTCAGCGACAGGGCCCCCCCATCACCCCCCCCCCCGTGTCTCCATCCCCGTGTCCAGCCCCATGGACACGGTCCCCCCCAGTTCCCCTTTTCCCGGGGGCCTCCGCCCATCCCCACGAGGGACTTCGGGTCCCCCCCGCCCCGATAACCGGGGCCATGGGGGGTCGCTGGGCCATGGGGCCGGGGTTAAGGGGTGTCCCTAGGGCCGGAGTTGGGATGGGGGGGCTCGCTCCCTATGCTTGTGTCCGTTCCCCCCCTCCCATCGCCGCTGTTCCCCCTCCGGCGCCTCCTCGCCCGCAGATGGAAGCAATTAAGGGGCGATGGCGGCTCCGGCTCCGCCGCCCCACGGCGGCCCCACGGCCCCATAGCGGACCCACAACCCCCGGCCCCATTGCCCCACATCTGCCCCCCCCCCCCAGCCCTACATCTGGCCGCCCCCCCAAGCCCCACAGCTCCGGATCAGTGCCCATGGAGCCGGGTCTGGGGGGTACCCCCTCCCCCCCCCGTGACCAGCGGCCTCCGTGGGGCGGAACCGAGCCCGGCCCCCCCCGGGACCCCCAAAACCCCCCATTGCCCCCCCCCGGTGCCCCCCGGGCGCTGCCGCCGCTCCGGTACCTCCCGCTCCGCTCCCGCGCTGGCCACGCCCCCTCTGGCCACGCCCCCCGCAATCTCAGCCCCATCCCCAAACCGCGCCCCCCTCCCTCCACAGGCCACTCCCCTAAATCTGGCCACGCCCCCCGGATGCTAGCGGCGCCGCTGATTGGCTGCAGCTTCCCTCCTAAACGGGCTCGCGATCGTCATTGGAGGGCTGGCGCGCGCCGCTGCCGACCCCGCGCTTTTGCCGCCGCCGATTGATTCTGGCTCCTGTCATTCTAAAAAAGCTCCGCCCCCTCCCGCGCCAACCAGTCACCGGCCGCCGTGCGGCTCTCTGCGCTTCGATTGGCTCCGGCCGCCGTCAGGGAGGCACCGCCTCCTCCAATAGGAAGTCGCGGAAGCCCCGCCCACGGCTTTCCGCTTCGTCTTCCAATAGCAGCCGTGCGACCGCCGCCATTGGCGGAGCGCCCCGCAGATCCCGCCCCCCTCCGATTGGCTCATCCCTCCGCCAATCCCCTCCCGCAGCGCCTTCCCGCCCCCCCCCTCCGCCGCGCGCCGGCTCCATTCCCTTTTCCTATTGGCTGCCTCCCACTGCCACTCACCGCAGCGCCGCGCTCCCATTGGCAGCGCCGCCGGCTGCGGGCGGGGCTTCCTCCGCGCCGTCCCAGCGTGCCCCGCGCGGTGTGTGGAGAGCGCGGCCTGTTCCCGCGTCGCCGCCGCCGCCGCCGCCATGTCCGAGTTCAGCGCCGCGGGGCCGCCGCCCGCAGCCGGCCCGCCCGGGGGGGCCCCGCCGCCCGCAGCCGCTTCCGCCGCGGGGCCGCCGCCTCCGGCCGCGGGGGCAGCGGCCCGGGCCCCGGCGGCGCCGGGGGAGGAGGAGGCGGAGCAGGAGGCGGCGGAGGGGGGGGTGGGGGCGGCCCTCCCGCCGGTATCCGGAAGGACGCCTTCGCCGACGCGGTGCAGCGGGCCCGGCAGGTGAGGGGCCCGGCGGGGGGGGAGGCACCGGGAGGCGCCGGGGTCCCCCCCATGCCCCCGCCGCGGCGCCGCGGCCCCTCCCCCACCCTCCCGGTAAGGCCCCGCCCCCCCCTCCCCGGGGGGGGGGGGCGCGAGGGGGTGATGCCACCCCCCCCCCGCGACCTCACGTGACCCCGGGGTGGGGGGGGGCGGCTGTTACCGGGGTGACACCCCCCACACATCCCCTTTATAGTGAGTGTTCAGGGAGGTCACCAGCCCCCCCGTCCCGGGTTATGGGGGGTCCTCATTGATGTGGGGCTGGGGGGGGAGTTTGGTGGTGACCCCCCCCTTCTCTGGGCCTCACAGAGGGGATCCCCCTCATGATGTGGGGGGTTTGGGGGCTCCCCATTGATGTGGGGCTCAATGGCGGGCATCTGGGGGCTCCCCATTGATGTGGGGCCCATGGGGGAGGGTCGGGGTTCCCCATTGATGTGGAGCTCATGGGGGGTGTTTGTGGGCTCTCCATTGATGTGGGGCTCGTGGTGGGGTTTAGGGGTGACCCTCATCTCCTATCGGTGCTATAGGAGGGGTTTGGGGTCCCCCCTTTTTATGAGTCTCAGAGGGGATTTCCTCTGATGTGGGGCCCATGGAGGTGGTTTGGGGGTGAGTCCCCTCCTGTGGGGCTTGAGGGAGCATTTTGGGGGGCTCCCCCCCGTATGTGAGGCTCACAGCAGTGATTGGGGGGGTCCTGCCCCAATGTGCGCCTGGATGCTGGGATTTGGAGGACTCCCCCTTGTTATGGGGCCCACACAGACCCCCCCTTTCTGTGAGGCTTATGGAGAGCTTTTGGGGGGTTCCTCTATAACGGACACTTGGGGGGGGCTTCTTACAAGAGGAAAGACAATGGGGGGGGGGTTGGGTGCTGGGGTGGGCCTCTTTTGGGGGTGCCCTCCCGGCCCCAACCATTCCCTTTGCAGATAGCGGCCAAAATCGGGGGGGATGCGGCTACGACGGTGAACAACAGCACCCCCGACTTCAGTTTCGGGGGGCAGAAACGGCAGCTGGAGGATGGCGGTAAGGGGGGGCACCCCAAAAATGGGGGGAGCACACTGAAAATGGGGGGCACCCCAAGGGGAAGGCACCCCAAAAATGGGGGGCGCACCCCAAAACCCCCCATCTTCCTTCTGGGGGGGGGTCACTGATGGTGTTTCCCCCACCCCAGACCAGCCCGAGAGCAAGAAGCTGGCGGCACAGGGGGACTGTGAGTACGGGGGGGTTAAGTGGGGTGGTATGGGGAGGCTATAGGGTTCCCCCCGGCCTCACTGGGGTTTGGTTCCGTCCGCAGCGCTCCCAGCCCCATTGGGACCCATCCACCCCCCACCCAGGTGAGACCAAAGATGGGTTATGGGGGGGGAGGGGGTTGGGGGGTCTGGGTGGGGGGGTTTGGGGTGTCTAACCCCGCTTTGTGTGTGCAGGTCGACGGTGACGGAAGAATATCGTGTCCCTGATGGCATGGTGGGACTTCAGTGAGTTGGGGGGGCGCGAGGGGTGGGCGGGTGGGTCAGGGGGTTCTCCAATGACCCCCCAATGGTCTCTTGTCCCCCATTTACAGTCATTGGCCGTGGGGGGGAGCAGATCAACAAGATCCAGCAGGATTCGGGCTGCAAAGTACAGATCTCCCCAGGTGAGGGGGGGCAGGACCCCCACTTCCCCATGGGGGCTCCCAAAGAGACACCCCCCTTTTTCCTGCTTGGGGGGTCCCCACTGCTTCCAACCCCCCATCCTCCATTGCCCCATTGCAGACAGTGGTGGGTTACCGGAGCGCAGCGTGTCCTTGACGGGCTCCCCCGAGGCTGTGCAGTGAGTAGGAGCCTGTGCTCCCCCCAGAACATGCGTGTGCCCACCCAAACATGCGTGTGCCCCCCCAGAACATGCGTGTGCCCCATAAACATGTGTATGCCTAGCTAAAACATGCATGTGCCCCCCAGAACATGCGTGTGCCTCTTCTGAACGTGCTTGTGCGCGCCTGAACATGCGTGTGCCCCCCATGAGCACGTGTAGCGCCTTAAAACATGCGTGTGGCTCCCAACAATATGTATGTGCCCCCTAAAAACATGTATCTGCCCCCCCAATGCGTATGTGCCTCCCCAGAACATGTGTGTGCCCCCCCAACACATGGATTGCCCCCAAAACTTGTATGTGTCTCCTAGCAACATGTATGTGTCAGTAAAACACACGTGTGGTCTCCGTAATACGCATTTCCCCACCAAAACGTGTGTGTACCCTGCTAAAACATGCGTGTGCCCTTGCCTAACACACGTGGTCCCCAAAACACACGTGTGCCCCCAGAGTGATGTGAAAGCCCCCCAAACCACCTGTGTGCCCCCCAAAGCACATGTATGTACCCCAGAAACACGTGTGTGCCCCCCAAAACACGCGTGTACCCCTCCAAAACAACACGTGTACCCCCCCCCGTGACCTGTGCCCCCCCTGCCCCGGCAGGAAGGCAAAGCTGATGCTGGATGACATCGTGTCGCGGGGCCGGGGGGGGCCGCCGGGCAGTTCCATACAACGCCAATGGGCAGAACGGGACAGTGCAGGAGATCATGATTCCCGCCGGGAAAGCCGGGCTGGTCATCGGCAAAGGCGGCGAGACCATCAAACAGCTCCAGGTACCGTGCTGGGGGGTGCGGGGGGGGGGGGGGGTGCCCCCTCCCTTCTAAACCCCCCTCTTCTCCCCTGCAGGAGCGAGCCGGGGTGAAGATGATCCTGATCCAAGACGGTTCCCAAACACCAACGTGGACAAACCCCTGCGGATCATTGGGGACCCCTACAAAGTGCAGGTGGGCCCCCCACACACTATAAAGACCCCCCTCAGGACCCTGTCCTGCACCCCTTGACCCCCCTGCTGTGCCCATAGCAAGCCTGTGAGATGGTGATGGACATCCTCCGCGAGCGTGACCAGGGTGGCTTCGGCGACCGCAACGAGTACGGGTCCCGCATCGGCGGCGGCATCGACGTGAGTCCCTAGGGGGGGCCCCCCCCCGTGGTTTTTGGGTGGGGGGGCTCCCCCCCCGTAAGCCCAGCCCCACATTGAGCCCCCCTGGCCCCACTGCAGGTGCCGGTGCCGCGGCACTCAGTCGGCGTCGTCATCGGCCGCAGTGGGGAGATGATCAAGAAGATCCAGAACGATGCTGGGGTGCGGATACAGTTCAAGCAAGGTCAGAACGGCCCCTCCCCCCAACTTCAGCAGGGGCTTTGGGGGGGCCCTCATAGTCAACCCCTTCCCCCCCATAAAGTTTAACACCCCCAATGTTTAATCCTCTTGCCCGCCCACTGATGTTTGACCCCCACCTGCTGTTTACCTGCACACATGTTATTTAATCCCGTTCCCCCCCCCCCATGTTCAAACCCCCCATGGTTTTTAACCCCCCCCGCTGTTTAACCCCATTCGTACCCTTGATGTTTAACCCCCCATGTTCTTTAACTCTCTGTTAAGTCCCCCTATGTTGTTCAACCCCCCCTATTCTGTTTAACCTCATTCACCCACTTGATGCTCACCTCTCCCATGCTGTTTAACCCCCTTCACTCCATTGATGCCCCCCCCCGGTGCTGTTTAACCCTGCCTGTACTGTTTAACTCCTTTCAACACCTTGATGTTCAACCCCCTCCCGGTGCTGTTTAACCCCATTCACCCCATTGATGCCCCTCCCCTGGTGCGGTTTAACACCCCCCCGTGCTGTTTAACCCCATTCACCCCCATTGATCCCCCCCCCCCCGGTGCGGTTTAACACCCCCCGGTGCTGTTTAACCCCGTTCACCCCCATTGATGGCGCCCCCCCCCCCCGCTGCTCCCCCCCCCGCAGACGAACGGGACGGGTCCGGAGAAGATCGCTCACATCATGGGCCCCCCCGAGCGCTGTGAGCACGCCGCCCGCATCATCAACGACCTCCTGCAGAGCCTGCGGGTAGGGGGGGGGCGGCCAGGGGCTCCCCGCCCCCCCGGCGGGGACCGCCCGCCCCTGACACCTCCCTTCCCCCGCAGAGCGGCCCCCCGGGGCCCCCGGGGCCGGGGCTGCCCCCGGGGGGGCGGGGGCGCGGGAGGGGCCAGGGCACTTGGGGCCCCCCCGGGGGCGAGATGACCTTCTCCATCCCCACGCACAAGTGCGGGTTGGTCATCGGCAGAGGTAAGTGGGGGCCCCCCCCCCCCATTAACGTGCCAGCCCCCCCCCCATTAGAACACATCCAAACACCACCCCCCTCCCCCCCGTGTGCGTGTGCCCCTGCCCCCGCAGGTGGGGAGAACGTCAAAGCCATCAACCAGCAGACGGGGGCCTTCGTGGAGATCTCGAGGCAGTTGCCCCCCAATGGGGACCCCAACTTTAAGCTCTTCATCATCCGTGGCTCCCCCCAGCAGATCGACCACGCCAAGCAGCTCATCGAGGAGAAGATCGAGGTCTGGGCGGGGGGGCAGCCCAAAAATACCGCCTTTGTACCCCCCCACCTCCATCATCACCCCCATGCGCTCACCCCGCTACCTTTCGCAGGGGCCGCTCTGCCCTGTGGGGCCAGGACCAGGCCCGGGGGGGCCACCGGGTCCCGCTGGCCCCATGGGGCCCTTCAACCCGGACCCTTCAACCAGGGCCCCCCGGAGCCCCCCCACAGTGAGTAGTGGGGGTTAATGGGGGGTTAAAGATGAGGGGGGTGCTGTATGTGCCCCTCCCATTTTGCACCCCACTCACCGCCTTTCTTCACAGCCCCGGAGGCCCCCCCCCGCACCAGTACCCCCCCCAGGGCTGGGGCAACACCTACCCCCAATGGCAGCCACCGGCCCCCCACGACCCCAGTGAGTATAGACCCCCCCCGGGGCTATTTTGAGGTGTGTCCCCCCCATCTCATCCCTTAGTTTTGGGGTGTCCCCCCATCTCACCCCCTCTTCCTGGGGTGTCCCTCCCCAATCTCACCCCCTGGTTTTGGGGTGTGTCCACCCAGGTAAAGCAGCCGCAGACCCCAATGCCGCCTGGGCCGCCTATTACTCGCACTACTACCAACCAGCCCCCGGGGCCGGTCCCGGGGCAGCCCCCCGGCCCCCACCGCCCCCCCCGTGCAGGGGGAGCCCCCCCAGCCCCCCCCCACCGGCCAGTCCGACTACACCAAGGCCTGGGAGGAATACTACAAGAAAATAGGTGAGTGCCCCCCAAAACGGGGGGGGGGGGGGGGGGGGCCAACATTAAGCCCCCCCCATGGTCCCTGCTGCCACCCCCAACCCCCCCCCCCAAAGGGCTGGTGGAAGGGGGGTCCCAGGCCCTCCTTAAGCTCTAGGGGGGGGAGCTTTGACCCCCTTCTTTATGTGTGTGCCCCCCCCAGGCCAGCAGCCCCAGCAACCTGGGGCCCCCCCACAGCAGGATTACACAAAAGCCTGGGAGGAGTACTACAAGAAACAAGGTAAGGATTCCCCCCCCCACACCCCATACATGGGGGGACCCCCCTCCACACCCTGTAAATGGGGGTGACCCCCCCCCACACTCCATAAATGGGGATTACCCCCCCACATACCCCATACATGGGGGTGCCTCCCCCGCTCACGCTGCCCCTGTTGCCCCCACAGCAGCGCAAGTGGCCACGGGGGGGGGTCCCGGCGCCCCCCCGGCCCCCAGCCCGATTACAGCGCCGCATGGGCTGAGTACTACCGGCAGCAGGCAGCCTACTATGGGCAGACCCCGGGGCCGCTGGGCCCGCGCCCCCCCCCCACGCAGCAGGGACAGCAGGTACCGACCCCCCGCACACCCCATGGGACCCCCCCAAACCCCATTGGGACCCCATGGGACCCCCACACACTGCCCCAAACCCCCCTGGGACCTGCCCTTGGGTCCCCCCAAAACCCAATAGGCCCCCAATTTCCCTTGGGACCCCCCCACTCCATCATCACCTAAACCCCATTGGGACCCCGTGGGAACCCCCCACACTGCCCCAAGCCCTCCCCAAACCCTCGGGCCTCCCCCAAGCCCCCATAGCGCCCCCCTTTCCCTTGGCCTTCCTGCTCCATCATCCCCCATCCTGGGCCCTCCCCATCAATAGCCCCGGGTGAGGGGGGGGGTAAATGCTGCCTCCCCCTGACCCCCCCCTTCTCTCTGCCCCCCCAGGCTCAGTGAACCGAATGTGAAGCCCCCGTCTGTGATCCCCCCTTTTGTTTTCGAGGAGCAGTTGGGGCGAGCGGCGCCCCCCAACCCCCCCCCCAAAACCCACCCCATAGAGGGGGGGTCTCCCCTTTTCCGACCCCACTGGGGGGGCGTCCCTGTCCCGTCCCCCCCCCAAATCCACCCTATTGGGGAGGGGATCCACCTTTCCTCCCCCAACCCAACTCATTGGGGGGGGTCCCCCAAACCCACCCCATTGTGGGGTTCCCCGTTTCCCTCCCCCCCTGCCGCTCACAGTGGCCCCGATCGCCCCCCAGCTCCCGGGGAGCCCCCGGCCCCCCCCGCTCGCGGTAAATGGAACATTCCTCAGAGCCCGCCGGAGCCGGGGACCCCCCCTCCCCCCCCCCCCTCTCCCCCCCCAATGGTTGCTCCCAGCGCGGAGCCCGGATTCCACCTCCCGCCCCCCCCCTTCGGACGCTCGGTTTTTACTTTTTACCGCTTGTTTTTAACTTCACAAATAAACGAGAATGAAAAAACTACCCCGCCCCCCCCCCCCCCCCCGATGTTTTTTTTGGGGGGAAAAAGCTGGGTTTGGAGCTGGGGGTGGGGGGAAAAAAGGGGATTTTAGGGGTGGGGGGGTGGTAGGCCGCCGCTGTTGCTATGGTAACGGAGGGGAGAGGAGGGACTTCCGGCGGCGTGAAGGGAACTTCCGGTCCTGCGCAGTGCCGCGGTGTGAGCCCGGGGGGACTGAGGCGGCGGCGCGGTGCGGCCTTGGGGGATTCATAGGGGTCTATGGGGGGTCTGTGGGGATCCATAGGGGTCTATGGGGGCTCCATAGGGGGCTATGGGGATCCATAGGGGGTATGGGGGCTCTAGAGGGGGCTATGGGGATCCATAGGGGTCTATGGGGCTCCATAGGGGGCTATGGTGATCCATAGGGGGCTGTGGGGGCTCTATAGGGTCTGTGGGGATCTTTATTGGTCTGTGGGGGCTTTATGGGTGTCCAGAGGGGGCCTAAGGGAGCTTTGTAGGGGTCCAGGGGGGTGGTTCCATAGGGGTCCAGAGGGGCCTATAGGGGCCGGGGGTTTCTATAATTGCCGCGGAGGGGTGGGCGTCTATAGGGCCGGGGGTTTCTATAGGACCGGGTCTGTGTCTATAGGGCCCGGGGGTCTGTAGGGCCGTGGGGCTCTGTCTATAGGGCCGGGAGGGGTCTATGGGGCAGGGGGTGGTCTATAGGGCTGGGGGGCTCTATAGGGGCCGGGGGGGGGGGGGGGGGGAGGTGTCTGTAGGGCCGGTCAGCACCTTCCCTCCTCCGCCACTCTCTAGGACCCCCCTGAGCCTCATCCAGAAGCACCGGCGAGCGCCCCCCCATCCCCGGCAGCCATGGCCGCGCTGGTGAGGAGGGGAGGGGGCGGGAAGCCACGGGGACCCAAAGCTTCCCCCCGGCCCCCCCACCCCCCCCCATCTCCCTGTCTCCCCCCAGGGCACCAGCAGCCAAATGGTGACAGAGTACGTGGTGCGGGTGCCCAAGTGAGTGTGGGGGTAGTTTGGGGGGGGGGGGTTGGGGGGCCCGGGGGAGGTTCAGGGGTGCCAATGCTGAGTTCTGCCCCCCCCCAGGAACACCCCCAAGAGGTACAACATCATGGCCTTCAATGCGGCCGACCGGGTCAACTTCAGCACCTGGCACCAGGTGAGGAGAGGAGGGATGGGGTGGGCATGGACAATGGGGGGATACAGGGAGAGGGGGCAATGGGATACGGGGACACGGACGGGGGGCAGATGGGATCTGGGGCTGGGATCAGGGTCGGGGTCAGTGCTGTGACGCTGGCGGCGCTGCCCTAGGCGCGCATGGAGCGAGATCTCAGCAACAAGCGGATCTACCAGGACGAGGAGCTGCCCGAGAGCGGCGCCGGCAGCGAGTTCCACCGGCGGCTGCGGGAGGAGGCGCGGCGCAAGAAGTACGGGATCATCCTGCGGGAATTCCGCGCCGAGGACCAGCCCTGGCTGCTGCGCGTCAACGGCAAGGCCGGCAGGAAGTGAGGCTGGACCCGCGCAGGGTGGGATGGGGGGGGAAGGGATGGGGATGGGAAAGGGTTGGGGAGGGGATGGGGATGGGGTTGGGAAAGGGTTGGGGGGGAAGGGATGGGGATGGGGTTGGGAAAGGGGTGGGGTGGGAAAGGAATGGGGTGGGAAAGGGTTGGAGGGGGAAAGGGACAGAGACAGGGATGGTGATGGGATGGATACAAGAGTGGGGGGAATGTGGAGGCAGGATGGGATGGAGGTGGACATGAAAACAGGGAGGGGGATAGGCTGGGGATAGGAGAGGGGCAGGATGGGCACAGGAAAGACATGGGGCGGACACGAGATGGACACGGGAAGGACACAGGATGGACACGGGATGGACATGCAGTGGACGCATGTTGCCCCCACAGGTACCGGGGGGTGAGGAAGGGCGGCGTCACCGAGAACGCCTCCTATTACATCTTCACCCAATGCCCCGATGGTGCCTTCGAGGCCTTCCCAGTGCAGCACTGGTTCAACTTCACCCCCCTGGCCAAACACCGCACCCTCACCGCTGAGGAGGCCGAGGAGGAATGGGAGAGGTGATGGGGTGGGGTGGGGGCACAGGGACATGGAGATGGGGACCCCTCCAACCCCCCCTGGCCCCATTGTGCGTGTGTGTGTCCCAGCCCCATTGTGTCCCCCCCCAGGCGGAACAAGGTGCTGAACCACTTCAGCATCATGCAGCAGCGGCGCCTGCGGGACCAGGATGAGGAGGACGAGGACAAGGAGAAGGTGGCCAAGAAGAAAGGGGGGGAGCTGCGGATCCACGACCTGGAGGAGGACCTGGAGCTGAGCTCCGAGGACAGCGAGGGCAGCGAGGGCGAGGGTGAGCCCCGGGTGGGTCACGGGATGGGGATGGGGACAGGACCCCCCCAGACTCACCCCTTGTGCAGGGGAGAAGGCCGCCGAGGCCAAGAAGGCAGCGCCGGGGGGGAAGAGGAAGAAGAAGAAAAAGGGCTCCGAGGATGAAGCCTTCGAGGACAGCGACGATGGCGACTTCGAGGGGCAGGAGGTGGATTACATGTCTGACGAGTCCAGGTATGGGCCATGGTGGGGGGGTGCTCGTATGGAGGGGTCCCCATTGCTGCATCCCCCCCCTCACCCAGCCCCACTCTGCCCCAGCAGCTCCGTGGAGGAGGAGGTGGGGAAGGAGAAGGTGACCAAGGAAGAGGAAGGCCCCAAAGGTGGGGATGGGAATGGGGGGGGTGGGAATGGGACATCCCATTCTCCTGCAGGAGGGGGGCCCTGTCTGTGTGTCTGTGTCCCCACTGTGCCCCCCCCTCCCTGCAGGCATTGATGAGGCCAGTGAAAGCAGTGAGGACAGCGAGGAGGAGAAGGCGCCCGAGGAGAAGGAGGAGGAAGAGGAGGAGAAACCGGCCCCAACGCCACAGGAGAAGAAGAAGAAGAAGGGTGAGACACCCCCCCCGACCCCCCCGGGGGTGCTTTTTGGGCTGAAACCCGCCAGATTCAGCCCCTGGAACCATCCCACCCCCAAGACAGCAGCGATGAGTCCCAGACCTCGGAGGAGAGTGACATCGACAGTGAGACCTCGTCCGCGCTCTTCATGGCCGTGAGTGGGGCCCCCATCCCCGGGGGGGGTTCCCATGTCCAGGGGGGTCCCCTGACCCCCCCTGTGCCCCCACTCATAGAAGAAGAAGACCCCACCGAAGCGGGAGCGCCGTGGCTCAGCCACTAGCTCCCGCGGAAACAGCCGCCCCGGGACCCCCACCGAGCCCCCCCCCAGCACCGGCAGCACCCTGCGGGCAGCAGCCTCCAGGCTCGAGCAAGGTGAGGGGGGCAAAGGGCCCCATGGGTCCCTATGGGCTGGTGGGGGGCCAGCAGCTCTGACCCCCCCCCCCCCCAGGGGCTGTAAGGGGGGGGGGGGTGTGGTCGGAGGGAGTTGGGGTCCCCCATGACCCCCTTTGCCCTCCCCCAGGGCGCCGCATCCCCCCGGAGCCGCCTGCTGCCAAGAGGCTGAAGCTGGAGCCAGGGCCACAGCCACCATCGGGAAATCCACTCCCAGCAGCGGGTCAGTAATGGGGGGGGGCACCCATTGACACCCAGTAACACCCCGGAGACACCCAATAACACCCCTCAGCCAGCACCCAATAGCCAGGGCTGTGTTGGGGTGCATTGGGGCTGTGTTGGGATGCACTGGGGTACATTGGTGTCCCCACAGCACAGCGAGGTGCAGCTGACGGAGGAGACCGTGCTGTGCATTGGGGTGCATTGGGGCTGTGTTGGGATTCATTTGGGCTGTATTGGGGTACATTGAGGTGCATTGGGGCTGTGTTGGGGTACATTGGGGTTCATTGGGGCTGTGTTGGGGTAGATTGGGGTGCATTTGGGCTGTATTGGTGTACATTGGGGTGCACTGATGTACTTTGGGATGCACTGGTGTCCCCATGGCGCAGGGAGGTGCAGCTGACGGAGGAGACCGTGCTGTGCATTGGGGTACATTGGGGTGCATTGATGTACATTGGGGTACGTTGGTGTCCCCACGGCGCAGGGAGGTGCAGCTGACGGAGGAGGCCGTGCGCCGGTACCTGACGCGGAAGCCCATGACCACCAAGGACCTGCTCAAGAAGTTCCAGACCAAGCGCACGGGGCTGAGCAGCGACGCCACCGTCAACGTCCTGGCGCAGATCCTGAAGCGCCTCAACCCCGAGCGCAAGGTCATCGGCGACAAGATGCACTTCTCCCTCAAGGAGTAGGGACCCCACCCCGGGGGGGTCTCGTTGTGGGGGGACCCCAATAAACGCTGGGAGGAGCCAGAGCCGTGTCCCAAGGGGGAAGGGGGCATTTGGAGGGGTCCATGGGGGTGTTTGGGGATGGAGGGGGGGAAGACACACCTGGTTCGAACAGCCCGCTCAGCCCCGCCCCCCACCTCCCATTGGATAACGGCGGTGACCAATCAGCACCGAGCGCAGGGCATGCTGGGGAGATGTAGTCCCAGCCAAAGGGCACAAAACCACAAGTGTGGGGCTGGTGGCCCCTCCCCGCCCCAAATCCCCATGTGGGACACTATTGTGACCCCCAAATCCCACACAGACTCCCCCAGTCCTCCATGTGCCCCCCCCGCCCAACACTCACCGGGCTCCCCAGCCCTTTAATGCCTTTAATACAATGGAGATCACAAAACACTTGGCGGGGGGGCCCCAATGGGGCTCAGGAGGCCGGAGGGGGGTTGGGGGTCACGGGGGGAGCCAGGGGGGGATCCTTCTGCACCAAGCAGGGCTCATCCTCGCCGCGGGGGGGGGGATGCACCAGGACCCGGTCCAGGAGCCCGAACTCCTGTGCCTCCACGGGGCTCAGGTACCGGTCCCGCTCCATGGCTGCCTCTGGGGGGGGGGCATAGGGGGGTTAAAATGGGGTTAAGGGGGGCTACGGGGGATCCGGGGGGGGACCCTCACCGATGACGCTTAGCGGCTGCCCCGTGTGCTTGGCGTAGATGCCGTTGATCTGGCGCTTGAGCTGCAGGATCTCCTCAGCCTGGATGGCGATGTCGGTGGCCTGGCCTGGGGGGGGACACGTGCACAACATGGGGTGGGGGTCCTTCGTATCTATTACACCCCCCCCCCAAAGTGGATCCATCCCCCTGTACATATTACCCCCCCCGCCAGGGGACAGTGTCAACCCCTATGGGGAGCTCTCACCCAATATCCCCCCCACAAGGCAGTTCCATTCCCAATGGGGGGGGGGGGGGGGCGGGGCCTCCGTTCTTATACCCCCAAGCCCATTCCAATCCCCCTGGAGGCTACCCATACCCATTCCCCTCCATCCTCAATAGGGGTCTCCTCATACCCATTACCCCCCCTCCCCCCGAGACTGTTCCAGCTCCTATAGGAGGGCTCCCCATACCCGTTCTACCCCCCCCAAGGCAGTTCCATTCCTATGGTGGGGGGGGGTGCTCCATTCTTATAGCCCCAAGCCCATTCCAACCCCCCCTGGAGGCTCCCCATACCCATTACCACCCCCCCAAGATGGTTCTATCTTTAATGGGGGTCCCCTCGTACCCGTTACCCCCCCATACCCGTTACCCCCTCCATACCCGTTACCCTCCTCCCAGAGACTGTTCCACCCCCCTGTACCCATTTCCCACCCCCTCCACTGAGGGGGTCCCCCCCTGAGGGGGTCCCCCCGTACCCGTCACCCCCTGGGGGGTCCCTCCATACCCGTGCCCCCCCCGAGGGCTGGTGCACCATGATGCGGGCGTTGGGGAGCGCGTGGCGCTGCCCGGGGGCCCCCCCCGCCAGCAGCAGGGAGCCCATGCTGGCCGCCTGCCCCACGCACCACGTGCACACCGGGTTCAGCACGTACTGCATCGTGTCGTAGATGGCCAGGCCCGATGTCACCGCCCCACCTGGGGGGGGGGCACCCGTTAGAGGGGTCACCCGCCCCCCCAAGACGCACCCCCCGCTTCAACCACCCTCCAAATAGGGCTCACCGGGGCTGTTGATGTACATGTGGATGGGCTTCGTGTTGCTCTCGGACTGCAGGAACAGGAGCTGGGCAATGACCAGGCTGGCCAGGGAGTCATCGATCTGTGGGGGGCATGGGGGTTATATGGGGGTTATAGAGGGGTATATGGGGGGGTTATGGGGGGCCTATTAGGATGATAAGGAGGGGGGTTATGGGGGTTATAGAGGGGCATATGGGGGGTTATGCAAGGGGGGGTAATATAGGGAAGGTTAAGGGGGGTATACTGGGGTGCTATTAGGATGATAAGGAGGAGGCTTATGGGGGTTATCAGGGGCATATAGTGGGGTTATGGAAGGGGGGTGATATGGGGGGGTTATGGAGGGGATATTGGGGGGGCTATTGGGGTGATAAGGGAGTTATGTGGGTTATAGCGGAGTATATGGGGCAGTTATGGAAGAGAGGGGATACTGGGGTGTTATTGGGATGATGAGGTGGGTTATGGGGGTTACAGGGGGCATATGGGGAGGTTATGGAAGGGGGGTGATATGGGGGGGTTATGGAGAGGACATTGGGGGGGGCTATTGGGGTGATAAGGAGGGGGTTATGGAGGTTATAGAGGGACATATAGAGGGTTATGGAAGGGGGGATGATATGGGGAGTGATATTGGAGTGATAAGGAGGGGGGCTATGGGGGTTATGAAGAGGGGATGTGGGGGGCTATGGAGAAGGGGTTTGGGGGATTATGACAAGGGGATATGGGGGGTACAGAGAGGATGAAGAAGGGCTATAGAAGAGGATAAGGAGGTACACGGGGTCCAGATGGGGCTAAGGGGGGGTTATGGAGGGGTTGGGGGAGCACCCCATAGGTGCTAACGGAGCCCCCCTGCTCACCGGGCCCATGACGCAGACGATTCTCTCCCGCAGCAGCCGCGAGTAGATGTCGTAGGCGCGCTCCCCGCGGCCCTGGGGGGGGTCACAAGGCAGGGGGGTCTCATGGGTGGCGGCCTCATGTGGGGGGTGTGCCGGTACCGGGGGAGGGGGGGCGCTCACCGTCTGCTCCACCACGATGGGGATCAAGGGGGGGCCGCGCGTCGGCGCCGTCCGGTGCAGGCCGCGGGCGCCCGCCCAGGCCCGGCAGAGGCCGCGCTGCGAGGCAAGAACGGGGTGGGGGGGGAGGGTGTAAGGCCGGGGAGGAACCGGAAGCTCCGGCCCCCCCCCCCCCCCTCCCCCCGGGATCCTTCCCCGGTACCGGGATCCCCTCCCCAATCCCGGTGCCCACGGCCCCTCACCGCCACCACAGGCCTCATCGTGCCCCGGAAGCACTTGGAGGACCCCGGAAGTGCCCCCCTACGCTTTACTCCCAGCACCCCTGTAACGCGCCCCAGTGAGCCCGGTAACGGCCGCGCTCACCGTGGGGCCCGGGGGGGGGGCAGGGGGGAGCAGAGAGGCGGTCCATCACTCCCTTCCGCCATGGGGCTGGGCCCCACATCCTGCCCCACACCCGCGACGTCCGAGGGCGGGACTACATCTCCCAGCAGGACACGCGGCCACCGCTCGCCCTCTGCGCATGCGCACGCTCTCCGAGATGCTGAGACGACGCGCGTAACGGGGCCCAATGGGAAGCCGCCAGCTCCCCTCGCGGCCCCGCCCTCAGGAAGCGTCGACGGACGCTCTCAGCAACCAATCGGATCGCGTCCGGGCGAGTCCGGCGGGGAGCGACGCTGGCTTCTACCAATCAGCGGGCGGCAGCGGCGGGCGTCAACCAATGGGCGCGCGGGGGCGGGGGGCGTGGTGCGGGAGGCCCCGCCCGCCGCCGAGGCGGGTAGCAACAGTTGCCCCGGTGAGGGAACACGGAGGGCGCCATTGCCGCGGTCGCCGTGGAGACGGAGCCGGCCCCGGGACGAGGCCCCGCGGGACCCCGGTGCGTGCGCGCGGCGCGGGGCAAGATGGCGGCGGGGAGAGGGGGGGCGGGAACCGGACCGGGACACGGCGGGGGGGCGGGGGGAGGGGGGGATGGAGCCCGGACCGGGCCGCGGGGGGCGGGGCCTGCGGCGCGATTGGTGCGCGGGCGGACCAATGGGGGGAGGCGGAGCTGGTGGGGGGGGGGGGGGGGGGTTGGGGGGCTGGGAGGTGGAGGGGAGGAGCCAATGGCCGAGCGCGGCGGGAGGGACACGCCCCCTTCCGCGCGAGAGGGCGGTGTTGACGTTACGGGGGTGTATGATGTCAGGGGTTGGTGTCAAAGCGTGACGTCACTCCCGGGAGGGGGGGGGGTGTGCTGGCGTCACCTGGTAACAGCCGGTGGAGGGGCAGACCCTTGACGTCGCGCTGTGACGTCAGTCGCTGCGGGCGGAGCTTGTGCTGAAGCCCGAGCCTTGCCCCACTGCCGTGATGGAGAGCTGTGATGTCATAACGTGACGTCACAACGCGCTGAGGTCAACGATGGGAGTGGCAGAGAGGGGCCGGTGTCATTATCCCCGCGCTGTGACATCACCGTGACATCACGGAGCAGCCTCTCTCTCCCCTCTACACCCCATTCCCTCTGCAGGCCCCGCCCCCCGTCGCCATGGCAACGCCTGCCTACGTCACCGAGCTGACGGCCGCCACCACGACGACCACGACCCAGCAACCGCCGCAGGCCCCTCCCCCTCCCGGCCCCGCCCCCTTCGGGGCGGAGCTCCCGGCAGGCCCCACACCCTCCGCGGCCCCGCCCGCCCCCCCCCAGCACTTCATCGTTGTCACAGTGTCCGGTGAGACCCGGATGGGGGGGGGGCAATGGGGGGGTTATGGCAGGCGGGGGTTGGGTCCCTCTGACCCCTATTCTCTCCTTTCTCACCCCAAACCAGAGGCTGCTCTGGAACCGGTTCCTGAGGGCAGCCCCGCGCCACCCCCCGCCGCCGGCCCCCCCACGGCCGGGCCCACATCTGGGGTGCAGCAGGTGGGGCCCCCCGCATTGTTTCCCCCTCACTGATCCCCCTCATTAATCCCCCCCAATTGATACCCCCCCATTAATACCCCCATTAATCCCCGCCATTGATACCCACCCCCATTGATCCCCCCCCATTGATACCCTCTCATTGGTACAATCCATTCGCCCCCCCTTTGTGTCCCCTGCCCATTGACCCCCCCTTTGTACCCCCCCCAGCGCTCCCCAGCTCCCAACAGCACCGCGACCCCCAAGCCCGGCCCCCTGCCAGGCCCCCAGGAGGTGAGTGCGGGTGGGGGGGGGGGTGGCGCACGAGTGGCTTATGGGCGGTGCGGGGGGGGACGACACCCCCTGACCCCCCCTTTTCGCCCCCCC